GCAATGTTTGCATTTTTTATCAAATATTTGTTTTGTCATATAAAAAATAAGTAATAAAAATACACAATTTAATTTATCTTTATTGATATTTTGTATTCAAAGAATTATTTTAATTATTGATAGTGAGTGTAATCCTTTTTGTCTGGGTCTGATTCCCTGTAGTGACAGGCAGTCTGTTCATACCTGGCTAGGGAAAACACCAGGATATGTTAAATCTTTGCATCTCTGATTCACACGTATGGTTAATACAGGATATGTCAAATCTTTGCATCTCTGATACACACGTATGGTTAATACAGGATACGTCAAATCTTTGCATCTCTGATTCACACGTTTGGTTAATACAGGATACGTCAAATCTTTGCATCTCTGATTCACACGCTTGGTTAATACAGGATACATCGAATCTTTGCATCTCTGATTCACACGCTTGGTTAATACAGGATACATCGAATCTTTGCATCTCTGATTCACACGTATGGTTAATACAGGATACGTCGAATCTTTGCATCTCTGATACACACGTTTGAGATGCAAAGATTCGATGTATCCTGTATTAACCAAACGTGTGAATCAGAGATGCAATAATTCAACGTATCCTGTATTAACCAAACGTGTGAATCAGAGATGCAATAATTCAACGTATCCTGTATTAACCATAGTGGTATATACTGCCTGACAAACGCCATCTTCCAGACTTGTTGAAAGCAAAATGTTTTCACTTAAACGTGTGTGTTAATTTGATTATCTGAACTTTTCTTTCCAACACCTTGCAACTCGATATTCATGACATCTCTTTTAGATAATTTTGGTTTTCACTATTTGAAATAATACTCTCATAGTATATTTATGCATACAAACTGTTTGTGTTCCATATCCTAGTAATACTAACCAAACGTGTGAATCACAGATGCAAAGATTCAATGTATCCTGTATTAACCATACGTGTGAATCAGAGATGCAAAGATTTGACATATCCTGTATTAACCATACGTGTGAATCAGAGATGCAAAGATTCAACACATCCTGTATTAACCATACGTGTGAATCACACTGTCTTGCACATTTTAATCATTTACACAAAACGTTCAACAATACTTCTTTTTATGCAGCATTAAGATTTTTTTCAACAACTGTTTCCTGGCATAACTTTTGTGCAACGTGGTATATACTGCCTGACAAATGTCATCTTCCAACTTCTGTGCAAAACGTTTTGTGTAAATGATTAAAATGTGCAAGACAGTGTAACGTTTTGTGTAAATGATTAAAATGTGCAAGACAGTGTAACGTTTTGTGTAAATGATTAAGATGTGCAAGACAGTGTAATGTATTGTGTAAATGATTAAGATGCAAGACAGTGTAACGTTTGGTGTAAGTGATTAAAATATGCAAGACAGTGTAACGTATTGTGTAAATGATTAAAATGTGCAAGACAGTGTAACGTATTGTGTAAATGATTAAAATGTGGAAGACAGTGTAACGTATTGTGTAAATGATTAAAATGTGCAAGACAGTGTAACGTATTGTGTAAATGATTAAAATGTGCAAGACAGTGTAACGTATTGTGTAAATGATTAAAATGTGGAAGACAGTGTAACGTATTGTGTAAATGATTAAAATGTGCAAGACAGTAACGTTTTGTGTAAATGATTAAAATGTGCAAGACAGTGTAACGTTTTGTGTAAATGATTAAAATATGCAAGACAGTGTAATGTTTTGTGTAAATGATTAAAATGTGCAAGTCAGTGTAACATTTTGTGTAAATGATTAAAATGTGCAAGACAGTGTAACATTTTGTGTAAATGATTAAAATGTGCAAGACAGTGTAACATTTTGTGTAAATGATTAAAATGTGCAAGACAGTGTAACATTTTGTGTAAATGATTAAAATATGCAAGACAGTGTAACATTTTGTGTAAATGATTAAAATGTGCAATACAGTGTAACATTTTGTGTAAATGATTAAAATGTGCAAGACAGTGTGACTTTTTTTTTTTTTAAATGAAATTTACCATATGTTTATTGAAGCTTAACTGATCAAAATTTGAAAGAAATTATGAATAATAGAAAAGTTATATGTATTATTATGAGCAGGTAACTGTGTTCAGTGTCCCACTGTGTGAATATTTGTATTAAATATTGTTTATTACTTCGATGTTTCAACTCTTAGAAAGTTACTTATGGGAAAATGTTACTGTTATTTATAAATTAATTTTTCCTTTTAGTATCCACTGTAAGAGAAAAGGCTTGTTTTACAAGCCTACTTATAATATATTTTTCACCTTTGTTCTGATTTTAGGGAAATTTAGAGAACAAATTAAAAGATGATTTACTACCCATGTGAACTATGTTTAAATCCAAACAGCCGATTTCTGTGTCTGAAATTTTTAATTATATGCTTTTAGGATGAACAGTCAACAGTCTTTTATTTGTATATGACCTCAATCTATTATTTGTTTTTCAGGTTTTAACGTAGAAACAGTGGAATATAAAAACATCTGTTTTACTGTGTGGGACATTGGAGGTCAAGACAAAATCAGACCATTGTGGCGTTACTACTTTCAAAATACACAAGGTAGAATTTTATACTTGGAACTGTATTTACAAACAGTATATATATATATATATATATATGTAGTTTGTTGGTTAAATTGATTGTTCTTATGACTTGGTCTATTTACATATTTGCCATGATTTTTTTAAGGGTTTAATTACCTCTTTGATTACGGGTAGATACATTTCACCCATTTTACGTAGCCACCAACGTAACCATAACTTTTTAAGTTAACTCTTTCAGCACGGGCTAGGCTACTGGGAC